ACTGTGGATATGAGCAGTCTCTGCTTCTCTGTGGTCGCCTTAATCGCCTCCCCCCCTCCATCCCCAGCTTGGTAAGTGAAGGGAAGGGAGTGCTATTTAATCAGAAAAAGTGTCACATTAATTCAGACAAATTCAAGCAATCTAGTTTTCTAATAAAGCTGTCATATTTGCATCCGGTGACTTACGCTCACCATCGTTTTAGATTAATTCCCGTCACAACCTTTTGATTTATGAATGCATAATAACTCAGGGCAATGTCTGTGACTGTGCGCGCTGTGTGTGTGAGTGTGTGTATGTGTGTGTGTGCGTGCGTGAATGTGTGTGCATCAGTGCCTACAAAGCGTTGACTTTTAATCTTACATGTTGCTTGTTTCTAGTCGAGAGAAAATCTCATTCTGAGATAATTGAGTGTGTTAAGAGGAGGAGATCAGACTCCTGGTGCGAAGGAACACGAGTTGCATCACTGTTCCCCTGTTTTAGAGCAACCTCTCATCTGTGCTTATCTGCTTGCCATTCATATCAAAGGATCAAATACATATGAATTTCTTCTCCCCACTTGACATCGTCTTTCCACATCCATTCTTTGCTTATGAAATCCAAAGGTCAGCGTCTGCTCTTTGCAGCATGCACACACAGGAAATCATACATTCTCCCTTGTAGTTGTCTTTTTAATAACTGTGTCCATCCTTTATTTATGTGCCTGTATTTACAGTTGTTGTTGTTTTTATAATTGTTTTAATTCAATTTCACATTCCTGAAGCAACATTATCAAACACGTCATAATGTTGTCTAAGCTGGTATCAGGAAAAGTGGAATTATTACCTTTATATATGGCTGCTCCATCCCCCCAAACCCTCGACTCAGTTTATATGTAATTATATGTATTGTGCACAGGCAATACAGCAGTGTTTTCATATCACTGCCCCTGAATAAAGCAACCAAAGAGCACCCATGAGGCTTCACAATGTAGGTAGCCTTGCTATCATGACTCAGTCGAAACTCAAGTGAGTGCTATTTCTGATCATAGCATAGAAGTGTGAGTCTGCCAGCAGTCATCGTACTCTGACATGACCAGCAGAGGAGATGATGAAGCACAGGACAGTCTGTGGTCTAAAAAGAGAGTCTCATACATGCTGTATGCTGGTACACATGACATGGCATTATAGCCTTGGACCAAATCAGATTTTTTTTTTGCCTCTGAGCCCATTTAAAGTTTTCTAAAAGTTCTGCATGTAGAATAATTTTAAGTTTCCCAGTTGGCTCGACGGTGTCCTTTGAATGTTCTCTGAGATTGGCTTTAAATGAAGGCAGGTCGCATGATTGCAGACTTTGCTCTGCAAGAATTTTTGAAGTTAAGTTCAAGAGGAATTTGAGATTTGAGCGGAAATGCTGAGTTTATGTCAGTTTGATTTGCTTTTAAGACGCAGTTTTACAAACTGTATCTCCTTGTGCCATCTGCAGGATGTACAGACAGCAGTCACCAGCCTCTAAATCAGAAGTCTTTCTGCATCACTTTGCAGTAATTTTGACCATAGGTTCAAATCCGATATCATCGACCTTACTTTTTTTTTTAAACATACATGTGATTAATTGATTATAATCTCCTCCTCTGTGTGATACGCTTCTTGGGTCAAAAGTGCTCTGCAGTTACACATTTTTGGCATCTTCATTTTTTCACATGGTCAAATACATGTTTTCCCACTCACTGCTCTTTTATTTATTCAAAATGAATCATTACTTACTTATTTGGAACCAAACATATTAGATATCTTCTTGATAGCTGTAAATGAGACCACTAAGTAAGACGGAGACATCTGTTTGGGTTAAGCATTGGCTCCAGTTCAGTATTTTCTGATGCACTGCAGACTTGGCATCATTGAAAAGTTAGGCTAGAGTCCAAATGTGCTCTTAAACTTATCCATTGACGCTCCTGCATTTGCTGAATCGATAGATCCATGATGCCTGATTACCATCTTCTGGCCAAAGCTTGTCACTGCTTCCCCCTCAGATAAAGTAATGGTCACTGAAGCAGCTCGGCAGTAATGTGTCGTATTTGCTTACAGTTTAATTAAAACCAGAAAGACTGAAATATCAAAACAACTTCTGCTGTTTACTGAAACTAAAGCTCAAACCCTGCTGTTAGTATTACTGTTTGCTTTCTCTTCACAGGGACCACCGAAGAAGCTTGAATGCCACAATCAAAAAGCTAAACACTGAGCCGTCGTAGAAGGAGCAGCCAGACGTTTTCACATTCTCAGACACGCTTTGAATGGCATTGCGTAGAGACTGCTATGTTACGCAGTCAGATTCACACAACACTGTTTCATTCCAACAGCATACATGAAGGAAGCTAAGCAGAGCCACCAGGAGCTGTCTCCCCCCCCCGCAGTAAAGTCTGAGACAGGAGAGAGAAAAAAAAGCACTCCACCTTCTGTCAGCAGCTGCCAAAAGGCCTCCAAGAAGAACTCAAACAGTTATATAGACACAAAGACAAACATGCCGCTGCTTCTGACTTCAAGATAGCTTCTCTTTATCTCTCAGCTCTCTGCAGACGTACAGAGAGTGAAGCACGAATTTGACTGAGCTGTTGGTGAAACTGGCTCTGAGGACAGAGTGAGCACACACATGCTACATGTGCAGAACAATTTTTATTGAGGTTTATTTGAATCTAGTGGACAAGAAGACGTACTAATAAAAATAAAGGAAAAGTTGCAATTTTCAGCTTTTTATAACATTTAAAAACAATTAAAAAAATATTGCTGCTGAAGCTACTATTAAATAGCAGAAAGCTTAATGAACGGCGAGAACACAGTCAGTGCTGTACTGTGAGAGGTTGCAAGAACATCCTGTACATATGCTCAAAGTTCAAGTATTGTGTTAACCCATTTAATCACACCGGCAACAATTGTTGCTGTTTTAACCGCATATTACATTAACAAAATGAAACATATTGTGTGTAGGGGATGTCTAAGGAGTAAAATGCATGCACTTATTCTACAGGGGAAAATTTGAGATTAAACGGTTCCTCACCTTTAAATATCCTGACAGCACATGAAACAAAGGAAATCATTTCTTGGTTTTGTCCCTGTTCCTTTTCAAATTAACGCCCTTTAGTGTTCTTTTGAAGTCCACATTTTACTGTGCAAACCTGCACTGAGATGTATTGCAGTGTGTGCACTTTGTACAAGTTCCACTGGCAAAGAAAAACTGTGCACTGCTGCACCCTGCTGGTGTTTTTAATGTTTGCATGCTGAGCTCTTTCAATCTGGCTCTGTAACACAAACTTCAAGTCTTGAAGACTGATGCTGTAGGACTTCGAGTCCCACAGCATCAGTTATATAGACTTTTAAAGTTTTAAAGATAAGACACATTGCATGATGTTGTTCTTGTTCGTTTTGCCGAATTGTGTCACAGAGTGCATGACTTTGGATATTTTAGCACCCAGACTTTTTTTTTAGCAGTCATAGTGGGCGGGGCTGCTCATGAACTCCAATAACCAATGGTTGCTTAAAGCCCTGCGACGTCATAGCATGACCAACCAGTTCAGTCTGTCTACTTTCACTTTCCTTTAACTATAAATGGTGGCGTTTTTGTGATCAAGCTAGGCTAGACTGACAATCCGATCAATACATCTGAAAGTATTTGGTTTTTTGTTTTGTTTTTTTCATCCCAGCGTCACTTTTGCGCCCGAAGACCTAGCTTGCACAACAGGTCTGTTTCCACGTTGTTTAGATGTCATGTCGATCCAAAAGCAGAATGGAAACAGGAACTATTCAGTATGAGAAATGTCCAACATCCGTATTCTCTGATTTTTTCTTCTTTTCTGCAGGTGAAATCATGGATGTTTTGCTTGAGGAAATAAGAAGCCAGGATGAAGCAGCAGCTTCTGTGCTGGAACGTAAGTGGCAGCATTTTGAGAATATTAATCCTACACTACTAGAGTAAATAAGATGTAAATATTTATATATGTTTATGTCAATAGGCTCCGTTCTTGCAACAAATGAGTATAGGTGTCAGAAACGACTGGACTGTTGTTTTTGCGCAAACTAACAAGAAAAAAGCCAACAGAACCACACACTGAATTCTAATTCAACTCAGTTTTATTTATACAGCACCAAATCAAAACAACGAACAATAATAACTTTAATTTGTATAATCGGGAGACTACTTGATCAATAACAGATCTGCTCTTTCAGAGGCAGATTTACATAGTGACTCAGATCTCCAGTCACTGACTTTACAAGACCTGGGTGAGCTGTTCCCTGGAGTTAGACATGTCAAACTGAGAAGGAAAATCTTTAATATAATACAGACGCTGGTAAGCAAGCAAGCTGTTTATAACTGAGATAAGAGAGATTCAGATGGACATGTGTAACACATATAGAAAGTCAGGTCTGGATAGTAAACACTTTCATTTGTTTCAGAAACCAATTGATGTGCTCATAAAAGAATTCAAGGACTTCATCCCACATGAATCTCTCAGGGGTAAGTACAGCCTGCTAACATTGTTGGCTTTTCCATTTGATGGATTTGGATTAGCAGAAGAAAATAGATGGATGGATTTAGGGTGTTTTGCGGCAGTTTTAAAAATACGACATTCAGATTCTTATACATAACTTATACAAAAATTTCCATCCAGCTGCCTTAACCGAACATGGGGTCTTGGTCAACTACCTGAAAATGTTGAAGGAAATGAAGATCGAAATGAATAAAGTGCAGGATTTCCTTGATGCACATATCAATCTACTGGAGGACTTCAGGAAATCTCAACCATCGCAGGACCAGGACAAAGGTTTTTAATCCCGTTTTTTTAATAGCAACGTGCCTTAATTTCATGATTGCAGATTCAAAGCTCTAGTAGAGGGTTTTCAAACTTCAACTTTTCCATAATTAAAGCTTTTTATCTGATCAAGTCCATTTATGCTGAATATTCATAAGCCATGTCCTTTGGTATCGAATAGACACAATATCTGACTATGCCTCAGCTTTCTTTGCTTTTACGTCTGTTTTTACATGAATCCACAAAATGGAAATAACAGAGACATGTAGTCTCAAATAACATGTCATTCTGTCCATACCATTGTCAGAGCAGTCTACTTTAAGTGTTAAATTTTGTACATGAATCACAAAGACATGGAAAAGGTAAAGTCTGTCGAAATTCTGCTATGTTGCCATTCACAGGATAGATTCTCAGAAACCCCTTACATATAGTATATAACTATGGTATATGACTACATGGTAAATCATTACTACAGTACAGATAAGATTTTTACATACATTCATAAGATTTGTTTTTTATTTCTTGTAAATGTGTTATGCCCTTGTACTCAACAGATTCTTCATCAAGTAGTCCAGAGAAGCACCACAATAGCCAAACATGTGAGCCTTCACAAAAACAACAAGGTAAATTTCACTTTCTTTTACTTTACACGCCAGCAACACACAGACACAAGCATATGGAGCTATGTATGGCTATTGTTAAATTTTAATGCTGTTTTACGTGAATGTTTATTAGATACAAGTACCAGTAGTCCAATGTTGTCCCCACCCTCTCCTACCTCCACTGATTACCATCGACAGAAAAGACAAGGTAAATTTAGCTCTTCACTGTTAGAATGTAAGGTGGTATTACTGACCAGGTGTTAAGGTTTCCAACTCCAGGCAATATTCAATATTCACTTAACATATGTTAAAAAAATCTCAAAAATCTAGGTATTCACTCACCCATCCAGATGTTGAACTCACATGTTCTAATCACTTCCATGGTCACAGGTGCATAAAATCAAGCACCCAGCCATGCAAACTGCTTCTACAGACATTTCTGAAAGAAAAGGTCACTCTCAGGAGCTCTGTGAATTCCAGTGTGGTATCATGAGAAGACACCTGCTGTCTAACAAGCGCAGTCGTAAAATTTTGTTGCTGCTAAATATTCCACAGTCAACTCTCAGCAGTATTACAACAAAGTGGAAATGATTGGGAATGACAGCAACTCAGCCACCAAGTGGTAGGCTATGTAAAATCACAGAGTAGGTTCAGCAGAGACACATAGTTTGAAGAGGTTGCCAACTTTCTGCAGAGTCAATCGCTACAGACTTCAGATTAGTTCAAAGAACAGTGCATTCAGAGCTTCATGGGATGGATTTTCATAGACAAGCAGCTAAATCCAAGCTTTACTCCTCTGAGTGTAATGCAAAGTGTTAGATGCTGTAAAGTTTGGTGGAGCGGGGGATTATGGTGTGGGGGCGTTTTCACGAGTTGGGCTTGGTCCCTTATTTCAAGTGACTTTTAATCTTAATGTTTTAGCAAACCAAGATGTTTTGGATAATTTCATTCTCCCAACTTTGTTGGAGCAGTTTGGGGAGGGCCCCTTCCTGCTCCAACATGACTGCACACCAGTGCACAAAGCAAAGTCCATAAAGATGTGGATTAGCCAGTTTGGTGTGGAAGAACTTGACTGGCTGTGCAGAGTTCTGACTTCAACCCGACAGAACACCTTTGGGATTAATTAGAGTGGAGACTGTGAGCTGGGCCTTCTTGTCCGACATCCGCGTCTGACCTCACAAATGTGGTTTTGGGAGAATGCTCAAAAATTCCCGTTAGACACTCCTAAATCTTGTGGCTAAAATGTGCAGTATATATATCTATGTCTATCTATCTATCT